AATCGCAGTGGAGCGAAACCCACGATATTAAATATCGGTATTGCGATAACGATTTATGGCTCCATTGTGCAATATTGCATAATCTCAAGCACGTACGCAGTCCATAAGCTAGTCGGCATAGTCAGACCTAATTTGTTACACGACCATTCAGCTCCGCCCAGTACTTAATCGAACTGACAACCGAGTCAGCTGTCGCGAATTAATTTGCCTTGCAAGTGTCAAGAGCAGGCTGCTAGTCGTCGTCGTTTCGATTCGACCTATTGGAAGTACTCGTCCGAATCACTTCTCAGACTCTTTCAGACTTTCATAATCTCTTCTTTATATTGCTGCGTTTTAATCCTACCTAACCACACTTATTTGCGAGATTTTTAATTCGCCATACTCCGGTCCGTGAGATCGCTCGACTTTGTCGTCACTTTCATTCTAATTAATATTTCTAAGCTTGTAATGTGGGAACTGAAAATACAGAATTTGAATAAGATGCTTATGATATCAAGTGAAAAAAAAAATTATTTGAGTTTAAACAAAACTTATTATTGTGAGAAAAAGTGTTTTCGGAAAAATTCTCAAATGGTCTCGCGAATGCGATTTAAGAAAAAAGAATGTTCGTTCGTTGTTAGCAGATACCTGATACTTTAAGAAAAAAAAAAATAGTATAACGTATGGAAACTGGACAACTAAAAAGCCGAAAAACGGTAGATCACTGAACCGGAATGTGGCGAACTAGGTTCAATAACGTGTCCGTGCGATACGAATAGTTATATAGATTATCACAGCGAATCTAGCGGCGAGAAAATAACGTCAAAATTCAGCACGACTACGTTCTCGATTTTCAATCGACCGGCATTCGTTTTTACGCGCACAGGAGACTAAATATCATTATTTTCGCAATGTATTTTGGAATAACGATATTTCATGTCGCGATGCAACAACGAATCTGGATCCCGGCCAAAGAGAATTTATTAAATACCTCGGATGCCGCGCGAGCGAATGCAAACCCACCTACGCGGCAGATGAGGACGCGCGCGGTGTAACACGTGAAAAGAAAAAAAATTATATCAACACTAAGCGCAATGTACGCGTCACTGTACATTTCGCAAATATATTACTCTGCCCCGTTCACGCGCGGGGCGCATACAGGCAGGGCACTGTCGCCCCGTCGCTATTACGTCGCACAGAATTCTAATAATCCCGTCGGTTATTCCGCTTAACAAATGAACAGAGTCGTTCTCATTATCTTCCGCGTGCAGTTTCGAGAAAATCACTTCCACGCAATTTCGTAACAATCCGAGCCGCGGTATTCAGCTACGAGCTTCCGGTATTGCTTTAATGACATTCTTTAGTGTGAAGCACCACTCGCGAGAATTGCTGAAGAGAGACACAGATCGGACGAAGGATCCTCGAGGAGGAAGGTAGGAAGATAGGAACGAACAAACGAACGAACGGCCGCGTGTCGACAATCGTCAGAGAGCTTGGCTGTAAAGGGCTGTTGCGGCATTCTACGGTGACCACAAATATTACGGTCCAACTAGTGGATCCCAGCCCTTGTGAAAGTGCAAGTCGAATTTGCGGCCGGGATTTGCTCGTCAGATCGCAGCTCTCGTGTCGGGCTGGGTCGCGCACGAATACCACAAAGCGGAAATTCTGTGCATTCCGAAACTGTAATATTGCACTTGTTGTTTGAATCTGTCTCGCGCAATTAATTATGGGACGGTAAAGAAATGGCGGAGGCACGATAAAACGAATCCGAATAGCTATTCGACGCGAAGGATATAACGCGCGTGTACATCGAGATACGATATCGCCCGTACATATCGATGTACAAGGCATGTATATCGAGGATTTTAATCGCACGATTATCCATTCTCAATATTAATATTTGCGTATTTGCGATACGCCAGGCTAGCGCGAAAGATGTTCGCCGTGTGTTTGTCGAATGAGGGATATTGAAAAGGAAATTTTCCGGTTTCGAAATGTTAATATAACTTTTCTCTCATAAAATAGACAAGCCAGAGGACATTAAGACCGTCCTAAGACCGTCATAAAGACGTTTTTGAGATAACAAGACGTCTAAACGACGTCTCTCAGACGATTCATGTTAACGAGATTTCCTCTTTATAATAATAATATACAAATCGCGATAACTACGGGTAAGAATTTCATGGAGAAACGACAAATTTCCTACGCTAGCCCGGTATTTGTAATATTGTTTTAAATATCGGGATCGTCGCGAATGTTCTCCATTCGAACGAAACAGACGTTTAAACTTAAAATGAACATTTACGAGTAGTAACGTAGTAACAGTAGAACAAAATCGATCCGGTAAACGGGAGACACACGCGTCGTTTTGTGTACATTGTGCGTGTATGGCGATTTAATTCGATTTCCTTTTTATTTATTCCGAAATAAGCGCGTAATTGTTTTCGCAATAAACGTATTTGACCGGGGAGCAACTGGTACGCAAATTTCTGACATTAAAGCCGTCTGTACGCGCATACCGATTGTGTATGAGTACACTAAAAGTATCGCTCTGTAATAATAGTAATTATGACCCGTGTATCAGCGTTAATTAAAGTTGCGGATTACACAGAGGATAATATCGTGTTTACGCGCGTATCGTAAAAATCCCGCGCGAAGATTGTAATTGCACGAAAATTACATTGCGCCGCCGCGGTCTCGCGCAGCTCAATAAGGATTATATAACTGAGATATAAGCGGTTGTCGCCGCTTTATAACGCTACGATTTACTTCGCGTTTAATATTTACACGTGGATATTTCCGGCCGGTGGCAATTCCGCGGGCAGACGTTGCGTCGTCGCATACAGCGCGCGCTTAGAGCCGTTTCCTCTTTTTATGAGAAAACTCATGCACTGACCGCTCGATGGCGCTCTTCGTGTCATTGACACAGTGTTCGGCCATTCTTCGCGAGCTCTCACGCGTTTATTACTCGGCGAAGCGGATTTAATACGCGGAATACGATACTCTTTGACGCGAGCGCGGCGCGTTTCAGCAACGACAAATTGACGATTATAAGTCGTGTGCAAAACGCATTAAAAACGCGGAATGACGTATCTTTCGGAAAGCGACGTCGATCGAATGCCAAGCGATTTTCGTCGAAAGCGCGACGATGACGTCCTTTCGAGGCTGAATCCGAAAATCGATCGAATACTCGCGCGGCATGCAATGTTCGCGCGCAGACGTAACGCGAATACAGTTAATTGTCAGATTGAAGGATAGAAGCGGTTTTATTGGTTCGCGTGTCGCTTCATGGCGGCCGTTAAAAAAGCGGAAAATTAAAGCCGTGGGGAATTTTCGCTGCGCGAGAAATGATTCGAGTTTGCCGCGGTGACAAAACAGCCGGCATCTTGATTGCGACAGGAGCGCTGCAGGGGATTTCAATGTGGACGCTTTTTATCGTTACACGTTATGTACAAAGAAGTCAACCGATAAAAAACGCAAATTTGCAAGTTACGCGATGCACGCGCACACAATATGTCAACTCTTACAGCGAATTTTTTTTAATTTTCCACTAGGAAATTATTTATTTCCTCGAGGCGATATGCAGGAAAGGAAAAAGCTGCTCAATGCCTGGTAAAATGAAAATAACATTAATATCTATTAATGTACAGTATGAATATTAATATAATGTTAAAATTAATAATTTCTACTAATACAAATAAATGAAATGTTAATTTTCGAAAAAGGAAAGAAATCAGTTATCCGAAAAACATTGGAGTGCGGGAAGAGATGTTAATATTGCAAAAATGTTTCGTTCAAGCTTGACTAGCGAGAGTAGTTCGTTCTCTGTTTTGTCCAGAAAGCAACTCGCGAGTGCGATTCGTTATTCTAACGCGTGTGGTTTTAATACCCGTCCGAGCGAAAGAAACTACGTGCAATTTTAATCCCCGCGATCTGAAAATCTCACGGGACGTACCGTGGACATACACATTTATATTCCCCTGCGAATATATACTTTCATTGGTGTTCCATTCAAAATGGAGGATGCAGACATTTCTTTTCGAAGCCGTAAAGATATTCATAAAAATTCTTCGAGTTTTTTTTCTCGCCGGTAAGACCCAAAAGTTTTAAATGGCTCACCTCAAAAACCGCTGTAGAGGGCGGATTAGCGGGGAAGTTACGACGCGTCCCACATTTAGTCGATTTTTATGCCACGCGGTGCTTATAAAGAGCACACGGGGATTCATAAGAACTTATGTGGAAACTATACGTGGAACTTCTCCGCCTTGGGGAGGCGAACATCTTAATTAAAAATTCCTCGTGGGATTATTTGCGGAGACCGAGATCGATGTCACCGACGTGTGGGCAACTTGATAACGGAATTCGCCCGGACTTTTTTCCCCTTTTACCTCTTGCGTCTTGTATCATTGCGATATCGTTTCAACCAAATTTCTTAGGCGCGCCATATATATACGTAATAGAAAGTTCCGTGAGACGAACACCAAGAATGCCATCAATTTTGCGCGCGACAACATAGTTGTCGACTAAACTTGCAACTTACGCGCGACGCAACTTTGTGCGTGCGTGTGTATGTGTGTGTTCGCAGTTTCTTTATAAGTGGATTGCCATAGTGCAAACACAAGTTACGTAGAATCCTGTAACGCAAATTTCGATCCGAGTACGTTCCGATGGAGTTAAAGCAACGGCTCTCGTCGAATGCTGCCTCATCGATTCGCTTGTCCGTCTGTCACGCGATTTTCCACTTCCCACGAGCGATTTTTCACAAAAGTCAACATCAGAAATGTCGTAAACGTTACGCATGTTTAAACAGAGGCGATCCCGGTGAAAAACGTCAGCAAACTGCCCGAGTTATCCGGTCAATAATGTGTCAAATGTCGCGATTTCGACCGAACTCGCGATATTGAAAAAAAAAACCCCCCCCCATTTATCTACGCGATGAGAGCACAAAGGACCACAGGGACTGTCGGTTACACGGGAAAAGTCTGGCCCGACTGTTTCCGGGATCAACAACGTCGGCTCACCTGCGCATACGAGCCGGAAAACGTGGAAAAAGTCCGAGCCGTGGCCAGGTGGTCCACCGGTGTTCCGCACACGTGCCGGCGCGATATCGCGATGATCCGCCCTTTCGCACTTGCGGCCGCTGACGAGTGTCACACGCGCGCACACACAACGACACGGGACGTCTCCGGCCGCGAGACACCTCGACGTGCCATCACTGTTTCCCACGTCGACAATTACCCCCGTTCGATCGGCGCGATATCGCGTCGGACTATCGCCGGAGGATGCTGTCGGTGCGGCCGAGATAGAACCCTCATCGGCCGAAACCGACGCACGAGTGACTTTTCAACGGATGCCGGACCGACGACGAGGCGCAAGGTCAAGGACACTTCGTCGCGACGACGACCCCGAGGGTTACGCTTCACACGTCGCCGCGCGTAACTGTCATTGTACACGCTGTCACGATCGTCACGCGACGATGCGGCGGCCGCTCACTGCGGATACATCTGTTGTTCGCGGGAGACCGCGCGA